ACCGTGGGCGCGAATCCAGAGAGCGTCGTGACGACAGGGACTTTGACCGGCCCCCTCGGCGTGAGTACTATGACCGGAATCGATCCCCTCCTCCACCGCCGCCGCGAGAGAGGGACTATCACAAGCGCGGCAGGCTGAGCCCCAGCCCTCCACCTCCCCCTTACAGAGACCGACGTGGAGGGGGCCCGCATTCTCCGCCTCCAAGGAGATCGCCCCCGTTTCCTCCACACAAGCGAAGGAGGGACGATGTTTATGATGGAAGGAGGGGAAGTCCCAGAGGAGGGCGTGGGCCAGGGGACCGAAGGTGAGCATTCGATATGGTTTGTTAGCACAGTTGCTTCTGCTTGTACTTTCCTGCTACTTGAGTAGGTACCAAATTGTAGCTCAGTTCGAGGCTGTTATTACAGATTGGGCAGTTGGTTTGTGATGAGCTACCTATCTAGGCGTCACATTTATTAATGATTTTTGTATCTACCTATGCATCGTTTTGTATTGTGTGTGTGTGTGTGTGTGTGTCCGTGCTTTGATTGTATGTATACTTCTAAATCAACATACCATCATTATCTTGTTTGCACAAAATATGCCAGTCTGATGAAGTCCATAGAGGTTATAGAGAACCTGTATGCATGTAACTTTTGGCACAGAGATGATGTAATTTCTTTGCCCACTGAACTTAATTTTGGAACTCCCATTTAAAAGGCAGATGGATCTCCAAGCACAATTTTTTATCAACATTTTTATACGGCTAAGCTGTCAACACAAAGTTTCAGCCGGGACTTCAGATTTGGACCTACTTGTCGGTATTGGCATTTCAATTGAACGTCACTTGCAATATATGAGGCTTATACTGATTTAGGTTCTCCGCACTTATCTATATTTGTGGCTTGTATAAACAAATTTTCAAGTCTGTAGATTCACCTCAATCGCATTTGTTTTATCCAAGCCCTACCTCCTGCTAAATTGCATCCCTTTTTGACTTGATTCTTTTTTGGTCCCTTCTTAATTTCGTCTGTTTGCACCAAGCTTTTATTTTGGTGTCCAGTAGGCTGTAATAATTTTCAATATTCCTCTTTTTTCTTTTTCTTTTTTTTTTCCTCTCCAGATTTGGGTATGATTATCCTGGTGGATACGAGCGTGAGACTGGAGGCAGATATCATGCTGAAAGGCCTCACGGTCGCTACATGGGCCGTGGTGGCTATCAAGGTGGTCCATCTGGTAATCTTGTAGAACTTGCTTTTATGCCATTTCTGAATGATTTAGCGGTTTGTAAAAGTATTTTCTGCTTAGATATTTGATACTCGATTAATATTAATTTTTGCAAGTCGACTATAGAATTTAGTAGCTTAGCATGCGAACCTGTTTTCTGCTTCCCATTCTGATGCTCAGCTGCTTTTATTCATTTTTGTAGTTATTTTTCTCTCATCATTGTAGTCTTATCCGTTTCTGATAGCATATGAACTGGTGTAGAACCTTTAATCATTGCATCCATGGTTCCAATCTTTATGTTTCCAGCTATGTTGTTAATCGAAAACACGATGGATTTCTTTGGTGGTTTCCTGTGATATTATAGCTTTAAATCAGTTGTATAGCCGTTCCTTGTTGTGGTTTAGTTAATATCTTCATTTTGCTCTCCCTTTGCAGAATGGGGTTCTGGTCGTGGTGGTTTTTCTGAAGCTTTTAACATGGGGCGAATGCAAAGGTGCGTATCATTCTAAGTTATAATTCCTAATGTCGTGTGTACACTTTCCCTTTGGTCCACATTTGACATGTTCGAACTAGCACCATCAGTTATTGTGTCATTTTTTGTCATTCCTTATGCTTCGCTGTAAATTCAGTAGTATATAGCCCTACTTGGCACATGTCATTTCTGATCACTTTTGAATTTTACAAGATGATGCATTGGAAGATGAAACTGCCAAATGTCTCATGAGAGGTGATGGATGGAAATCTAGGAAGAATGCACAACTTTTGTTCTGTTTCATAATTATAGACCTTTTATTGCTGTTGATGCTTGTTGGAACCCTGTGGTATCTTTTGGACCAAGCATCTTGTGTTTCTCCTTGTGTTTGTTTTGTCGTGTGAACCTGCATATTTATCGATTGTCTAGTTTTAGCATTGGGTTTCATTTAATATTCTATATCGAGAGTTATTCTTAGTTTGTTGTTTTTATGTAGGGAAGGAATGATGTCTTATAAGCAGTTCATTCAGGAGCTTGAAGATGATATCCTGCCAGCTGAAGCAGAGCGCAGGTTGGATAAGAAATATTTTAATGTTCATCCCTTTAACCTTGCTTGAGTTGCTTCTTTATGCACTATGCACACTTTTCTTTACTTAACTTTTTTTATTTTCCTCCCCCCCCCCCCTTCCCAATCTTGTGATCGTTTCCATTATACTTTCTTTTTACTGTTTACTAACTGCCTGAGCTTGATCAGGTACCAAGAGTACAGGACAGAGTATATATCGACTCAGAAAAGAACTTATTTTAATGCGCATAAGGATGAGGAATGGTACACTTTTCATCTTTATGTTCATTCATTGATTAAATTTATATTTTGCCTACATTTTCTTTATATGAGCTTGTTTCTTTTTTCAGGTTGAAAGACAAGTATCATCCAACAAATTTGATTGCTGTTATAGAACGGTAAGCATGATAGTGGGAATTTGCATGAGTCAGATCACCAATCTATTATCAATAAGCAACATGGGGAATTACCCTCTCCAAACATCTTTTTGCTACACCTCTCATTTGATGCTGTTGAATGGCATTAAATGATCTTTCCAGGAGGAATGAACTTGCAAGGAAATTAGCAAAGGATTTTCAACTTGACTTGCAGAGTGGGACTTTGGATGTGTAAGAGCTATTCCCAAAATATCTGGTTTCTTCATTTCAATTATTCTCACCATAATAATTACCTGATGTTGTTCTGTACATAAAACAGAGGTCCCAGTTTTAGTACTTCGTCATCGAACAAAGCTGAAGAGCCAGGTGAGCCTAATTCGGAAGACGAACCAGATGCCGCTGGTAAACGAAGGCGGCCTGGTCGGGCAGGTGCCAAAGAGCATGATAGCTTGTCTGCCCCAAAGGCCCACCCCGTATGTTCTGAGCCCGGACGGATCCTAACCGATATCGAACAAGCTCAGGATCTTGTACGGAAACTCGACACCGAGAAGGGAATCGAGGACAATGTCTTGTGCAGAGCTGATAACAGCAGAACAGGCAGAGATAAGCCGCACGGTAGTTCGAGTGGTCCTGTTGTTATCATACGTGGTCTAAATACAATCAAAGGCCTCGAGGGTACCGAGCTTCTGGACACCCTTCTCACTTATCTCTGGCGCGTTCATGGGGTTGACTATTATGGGCTAGTTGAATCGAATGAGGCGAAAGGCCTACGGCACGTGAGGCTGGAAGGCAAGATTTCTGAGAGTTCCGTTAACGGTAGTGAGTGGGAAAAGAAATTGGATTCCCGGTGGCAGGAGAGGCTGAAGGGTTCGGATCCTTTGGAGATTATGACTGGGAAGGAGAAAATAGATGCGGCTGCAGCTGAAGGTTTGGACCCATATGTCCGCAAAATCAGAGATGAGAAATATGGGTGGAAGTATGGGTGTGGGGCAAAAGGCTGTACAAAGCTTTTCCATGCGGCTGAGTTTGTTCACAAGCATTTGAAGTTGAAACACCCGGAGCTTGTGGCGGAACTCACATCGAAACTGTGTGAGGAGCTCTATATTCAGAACTACATGAAGTGAGTAATGCTGTTTTGGAAAATGTTTGATGCCATTATTTTTTTTTTTTTTGGATTTCTAGGTGTGTGTATATAACTGTTGTATATTGCAGTGATGAAAATGCACCTGGAGGGATGCCCATCATGCAGCCGTCCTTGGTACGCCAATTGTTTATTTTTGTTAGATTTTTTTTTTTGTATGTCGTGAATTGTCTTTAGCATATTGGCTTCTGTGTGCAGAAGGAGAAGCCGCAGAGACGAAGGCCTGGCATGGATAATAGATTAAAAGATGAAAGGGGAAACACATGGGAACGGGATGGTCGTGCCAATAGCAACGGACGATTTGATAGGTCCGAAAATCCTCAGTCTGGTGATTTCGCCAATAGCAATGGGGACAATGCGGATGAGTCTATGTTTGATTCGTTTGGTGGGCAAGGTATTCCGGTTGCGGCCTTCCCTTCGGATATAGCTCCCCCTTTGCTGATGCCTGTTCCTGGTGCTGGGTAAATCTGTTGCTCTGTTCTCCCTTTATCCGGAATTTCATCATAATTGTGAAGTGTACGGACTTCAAAGTGAATTACTAATCATATGCAGCTATTTTTTCTTACTTGGTATTGAAAGTGTACTTCTATTGTTTTCTATTTGGGGTTCAATTAATATCTACACACTTTGCACAACTCACCTTGGGAAGGCTTATCACCTTTGTAATTGATAGTCTCTTTTTCTCATTAAAAGGAGTTATATGTATATAGAAATAAGACATCGGACCAGATTGGAATTGGAATCGCCTTCGAACCTGATAGTTAATTGGACTATTAGAGGATGCTAGCCGTAATCTTATCATGTTATCCATACTTATAATAATATATGAATGATATGTATTTCCTATCTTATATTGTACAGCTTTTTTTTGTTTTCTTTTTCTTTTTTTTTTGCACATGTGTATAGATGTAAATTGATGTTCATAATCTCAATGTATTTGTGAAAAATACCTTCATTGCTTAAGATGCAATTAACCTGTAGCTAGTCGGCTTTTTATGCAATTAGTGTTTTGATTGATTGATTGAATATTATTTGGTCAATTGATGATCACAGTCCACTGGGGCCTTTTGTTCCTGCCCCTCCTGAAGTTGCAATGCAAATGTTGCGGGACCAAGGAGGTCCGGGCCCATTTGAAGGAGGCAGACCGGGACCCCCATTAACTGGATCTTCTTCAATAATTGCCTTGCCGCCCACTCTCCGACAGGATCCTCGGCGTTTGCGTAGGTCAGTACTTTGTTGTCGACCCTTTTAAATTTTATTTACAGTACTTCCAACTTTGTTGTCGACCCTTTTAATTTTTATTTATTGTACATTGTTGTCGACCCTTACAATTTTTATTTTTCTGGATTATATTTGTTCCAAACATATTCCATCGAAAGTAGATACTGTTGGAAACAATGCTAGTAGAAAATTGGTAACATACTGTATAAGCCACACTTCAAATACTTTAATCTGCGTGTAATCCATCTATAGCCCATTTTTATCATGACTGCTAATACGTGTGTCGGGAATTAAATTCTGACCTGGATTTTAACAACTCTGCAGTTATAATGACCTAGATGCTCCAGATGATGAAGTCACTGTGATAGACTACCGGAGTTTATAGGAGATTGGTCCAATTAGAAACGAGAGCTCCTTTTTTTGTCTATTAAGTGCAGGTACAAAAGCAGCAGATATTGTGGTCCATATAGATGCAATGCTGGTCAAGCAACTCAGTTTTCTGTTACTTTATTTTAATTTTACTTAAGTATGCAGCTAGATATGTTGAGCACTTGGGAACTCCGTGGGTGGGGTTGAAAAATCCTAGATGCCTCTTACACGGTCAGAGGGGTGTTGGGCATTGACTATTATCAGCGAGGCAGACGGGGGGAGAATTATTTTAAACGAGCACGTATTAATTACTTTGTTAGTGTATTTGGCTGCATATGTTTGTGCTGTAATTTATTTCTCCAGTTGTCGAGAGAGTAAAACGTTCGATTTAATCTTCCCAGGCTCCAATATTATGGAAACAATGCTGTTTAATAGGCTTTATAGACACTTGAGTTTTGATGAAAGAAATTTGATGTTACTGGCTAATGTTGGACCCTGCTTGTTTCGCTCTGTTTGGAGTTTATTTTTAATGTAAGAATTGTTCTTCCAGTTGATTATCATGTAATCGAGATTGATTTGTCGTGGATCTTCATATTCTTCAAGTATATTGCTCTTTAAGAGTTTATTTTGTTGGTGTTTTTTTTTTAATCATACAAATTGCTGGATGTGAAGTTGGGAGATAAATTATGGCCGATGAATAAGACTCATGGTACTGTGAGAGAATTTATCGACAATAATGTCATTGCCGAATAATCTACATGAAGTTTAAACTCATACCAAATCAGTTTATGACATTAAAAATTAAAATATAACATTTGTTAAATTGAAATTTTAGTTTTAATCATTGTGTGTCTAGAACTAAAGAGTAATTTCAAATTGTGTTTTAGTTGAATTTTAGTGTTGTCCAACTTTTATTGAACGATTGTGAAATAAGCCGTACTCGGTAAAATGAAATTTTAGCTTTAACAATTTGATAGTATCCGTCAGTTGTTAATGATGTTCAAAATGTTTGTTATTATCATATTTTTTGTCACACATGACAAATTCAGATAATAATACTATTACAACAAAACACTAATATTATTTATCTATCAACAATATCAACAATATATTTTTGCAGGGTAACATATAACTCGATTTTAAGTTAATTTCATATTTAATTATTGGAAAAATTTGGAGTAGGTATAAATTAATTTCATACTTAATTATTAGAAAAAATTGGGCCGCGGGTAACAAATTAGTATATAATATAGATGCCCAATTTAAAATTGATACACACGTTGTGTTCTTAATCGCTCTACACCTTATTGCTCTGTTTTGGATCTATGTCACAACGAATTTGTATGTATCTTTTGTGTTTTATAATTATTATATTTTTTTTATCATACGGTTGATTTATCAATTTTATAAATACAAATCAATATTAATGTCAACCGATAAAATTATATAACAAATAAAATATGATATATTATCTATAACGTATTTAATGCTTTTTTTTTAAATCTTATTCTCTTATATATATATATACATATATATATATAGATATTATAAATCATACATATGTAAAAGATTATCTAATATATTTTATATTATTCTTAAACTATGTGTGAAGTCACCTTAAAAAAATTAACCTATTTATGCCTTAATCTAGAGAATGGGTAAAAAATTGTCAAAATATGTTTAAAAATATCTAAAATATTGCAACCAAAAAACATTAAGAATACCTAGACTGTTATATAACGTTTGTGAGTGTCTAAAATGTGAAATTAGCTATCTTTTTCTATAAAAACATGATTAAAGTTATATCCACTTTTATATATTAGAGCGTAATATACTTCACGCTATCATATGTATTACAACGTAAAAAACATTAATACTTCACGCTATCATTTGTATTACAACGTAAAAAATATTAATTAGACTGTAATATTACTAACTTAATGAAAAGATTAATCATATGTATTACAACGTAAAAAACATTAATTAGACCGTAATATTACTAACTTAAAGAAAAGATTAATTAGACCATATGTTATGCTAATTTTATTTTATGTATATAGTAGATATAAAATAAAATGTTGGTTAAAAATATATTCCATATTTGTTTCACTGACAAATTTCATTTTAGTTGCATCTTAAGCCATGAAGGTATTTTTCACAAATACATTGAGATTAAGAACATCAATTTACATCTACACACAAAAACTCTATTCTTCACCACAAACAGAAGAATATGATAAATGCCTCTCTTTTGGACTTTCCCAAACCCATAGGTAGTCCTAGGTATCTGATAGAAGAGTGGACTTCGATTCCATCCATCATAGAGTTCACTCTGTTATGTATCTCCCGAGGTGTATTCTTACAGAAAAAATAGAAGATTTGGCCAAGTTCACCTTTTGCCCAGTAAAATTCTTGTAAGCCGGCAAAATGTGCAAAATTCTATCCACCTGCCTTTCTTCGGCCTTGCTAAAGAATAAAGTGTCATCAACAAACATAATCTGGGTCAATAAAGGTCCCCGGTCCCTGTCTTGAAAGTCTAACACCATTAAAACAGCCTCTTTCAGCTTCAACACTGATTTTTGCATAAAGTAACTCAGAGATAATGAGGAATAAGTAGGGGACGAAGGGTCCCCTTGTCTTATACCTCTAGTAGCATTAACCAAACCACAAGTCCTGCCATTAATATTGAAAGAGAAGGAAGGGAATTGAATGCAAGCCATAATCCATTTAACAAACTGGGCATTAAATCCCATTTTGGCCAATGAAAGCTGAATAGTTTTCCATTCCAATATGTCATATGCTTTGATTATATCCAGTTTCAAAGCCATAAACCAGTTCTTGCCGTTGAAAGAACAATTCTTAAATTTAAAAAATAAACTCCAGACAGTTGCACGTAGGATAAGGTTTTCGAGTCCCACCAAGTATTTACGAACCAAAGTTGCGTTAAGAGTTCACTACTAAATTGAACGATCACCTGGAAGTTTCATTTAGTACACCTTAAATATCTGACACTTCTATAGACAGGGTTGAAGAACAATGTCAGGTCTTAGTTTATTCGACAGATTTTTATCCTTCTACATGAAATTTGATGCCACTATTATTTTGCATGACAAGTGAATGTTAAGAATGAATAGCAAAAATGGCAGAGTTTCAAGATAAGTGGTAAACTGATGAACAATACTCCTTTCACAACCGAGCTCAACTCAGTCACACCCTTAGAAAAATACGAGGCACTGCAGTGCAGACTCTTCGCTCACAGAAGTGTCCAAGTAACAAGATTGACATTCACCACCACAATAAAACTAGGAATGGTTTTTGTATTCTTTACCACTAGAAGCTGGAAAAAAAAAAAAAGAACACCTTCATTTTTCTTCTTTCTAAGAGTTCACAGGAGCTCCCGAATCTCAGAAGGTCAAGAACGTAAGCATTCATGTCACACACATCTTGCGACTGCTATGCAACTCAGTATTCTGAATAGACAGTACGCACATGTCGGCCCTATTTTCTTACATCTTACAAAGCAGCATCTTTCACCATCTGATTTGATTAGTGCTATGCAGTTATATATGAGTAACCTAAAGAAATAAAATCATCCAAACTCAGTATCTCAGTGTCATTTATTTGAAGTTTTCCCTCTTTCTTTTGCCTGTTTTCTCCACTACTCTCATCATATACATCAGAACCGTGTTTCATTATGTCCTTAAAATCCTGAGACACTATTTAACGCTAAAAGGTGCCACATCCGTTATTCCTTCGCTTCAAAAAGCAGATTTCTCGAAAGCTTTGAGCACCCTGCGTCGTATCAAACTTTCCGACATTTCAAATTTTGTTGCATTATCCATCCTCCTATAGATTATTTTTTTGGTCTGCAGGTATTTCAAGTGTAGGCATATCGTAGAACAGGATGCTACAACACTAGACTGCACCGGAATTGATGAAAATGAACATGACATAATAAACATATGACAGTAATCAGAACAAAAAAGTACGATCCTCCAACCGGAAGAGTGGAAATAGATATTCATAGCCACCAGACCAAAAGCCTGAAAGTTCAGGCCCGAATCCATCAATCACCATTCCTCTTTCACATAGAATAGTTACAAATCTCAGTGACCCACAATCACAAATTATGCCATTTTCATTATTTGTCAAGAGACCAAAAAAGATATGAACCACTCACAAAAGTTAACACTCTACTCTCTGCATGCTATGTACACAGACTATCTCATCAACTTCCATTCCACTCATAAATTCAAAGTAATTCTATGCACCAGCAGCTGAATTTCAGGCACAAAAAGACAAACAAATAAGGAAAAAAAAAGAAAAATTCATCTTTGAATTTTCAGATTCTTACACTTGTACAACAGCGATTCAATCGACTTCTGTATCCTTGACCGCTCAGCGGGCCCTACCACCTGGGACGTCTCATGCAGGCTCTGTATTCCGCGTCCCAGGCTTGCAATGGAGTGGGCAGCCGGAAATGACTCGGCAGCACACTCGATCCCATCCCCATATATGAGCAGGCCCGCGCAGGTTGTTATGCTGCCCCCGAATGTCGCAAACGGCATGAACCCGATCGACCGAGCCCCCCTCTTCCTCATGATCTCGTAAAATGCCGTTCGCATAGCCGAGAGGCTTGTCTTTTCTGCAGACGCGATCATGCTGTGGGCCACTGCTCGGATCTTCTCCGCTGACAAGACTGCCTTGGTAGTCGCCCCTTTGAACCCGGGGGCCGCCACCTTGGTTGGCCCGAATGCGAAAAGGAAGGCCTTTTGTGTCTGGGTCAGGATCAGCTTCAAAGACGAGGGCAGGTGGAGGGTCGCCATCTTGACGAAGGTCGAGGCCGGAATGACTTTCGAGAGAGAGGAAGCCCCAACAGCTGCGGTGGCCCCAGCCCCCATGGCCACCACGGGCTTATCGGCCAAAATCCACTTTTTCCCACCATTGTTAAGGAAGTCACCATCTTCAAAGGTGGTGACAAGCTGATCAACTGTGTTTTTGACATCCGAAGGTATGTTGGTGTTCCAGTGCTTTCTTAGCCCAGCTAGCCCACTCGCATCGATTATGGCCACTATGGATTTGTAATTCTTGGTCTGGCTGCGAAGGGCATGGGCAAGGATGGCATGGGACTTGTCCTCCATGGGGAGGTCACAGAACTCACAATGGTTCGAGACCGAGTTCCTCAGCAGCATCCGACCGGCATTATTCAGGGCGATCCTCAAACCCTCGACCGCAATTTGAAATGCATAAACTTCCGAGAGAATTCGGTTGTCGACAATTTCGCCCTTGTTGACATCATAGAGCAATTTCTGAGCACTGGCCAGTGCCATTTTCATAGACGGGATTTCAACAAATATGTCGTGCAAGTCCACCAGCAATGGATACACGCATTTTGCAAACTGGGGGACCGCGTAATTGTCTTCAGGCCGGATATTCTCGCATTCAGGGCTCGACAGAGGGCTCAAGCTGGCCAAATAGGACGACAACAACTTCACCATCCGAGACTGGACAGCATCTGTTGCAATATGGAAAGCCTTAGATGATAGAGAGACATTTGGGCTTCCCATTCTTCCCGAGGCCAAGCCACTTGGTTGCAGCCCAAACGGGCTCTGGAAGGCAGCTCCTAAATTCAAAGACTCCCCTTCTTCATCCAGATCACATTCACTCGTGCTGCATTTCACGAATGGCGACTCGAGAATCAAGAATGAGGCCCCGACCTCATCGGCAGCCTTCTTGGCGGCCGTAAAGTGGCCATTAAAGCTCACGCCGAAAATCTCCCTCAGCACCAGGTTTCCGGCCACATCCTCATACTTCTCCCGGTTGACCTTGTGAGTGAAACATCTCTTCAGGACCTCGAAAACTGATGTAGGCACGCTATCCTCGTCCAAGCATTTGTCATCATCTTTTGACCCATTTTTACAGTCTTTCAGTAATTTCTCCCTGGCCTCCGGATTGTTCGAGGGCCCGACCTGGACAACAACGGCATCCGGCTTAACCTCTCGAATCAGGTACTCGGCGTCAAGGGCCGACCTTTCCGACAGATTCTGGGCCGAAAGGACGTAAATCACGGCACCAGACTCGGGCTCGCGGATTGCGTAGACGAAATGCCTCGTGCTCTCGGGGATCGGCAATTTCTTTACGATCAAATCAGATGCCCTCAGGTCGTCGTAGGTAAACGCCGAGAAGGGCCATAGATTCTGCAACGCGGACCACATGACGGAATTTCCAGTTTTCCTATATTTTTTTTTTCTAATTTGATTTCTTCAATCGGCTAAATTAGCCGCCGGCGATGTTCAAGGGCAGAAGCAAGAAGATTCATACGGTACACAGACGCACGCATACGAGCGCGCGCGCGCGTGTAGAGGGATAGGGTAGAGATTTGTGTATAGATAAAGAGAAATTAAAAGGAATTGAGTACCTGGTAGAAAGAGAAAACGGGTTGGAGTGAGGGTTTCCGATGGCGGTGGCGGTGGAGTGGTGGGGGGTTTTGGAGGAGAAGGTGAAGAAGTTGCTGAAAATCCGTGGCCGCCCGGTTGAGGATGGAAAGGGATAGAGATTAGTGTTAGCTTAAACCGGGTTTACCTTAACATTATCACATTATTATTTGTTCACCTCCTATTAGAAGAACATTCATGTAAGAATGAATGAGTCAAGGTCTCGAGGCACATATATTCTATTTGGATTTGATTTGTTAATAAATCGGTAAATTTCAGTCCCTATCTTTGGAGTACCAATCTATTTCATTTCCACATTTCTTATGTCAGTTTGGTTTGGGTTTTGGTGGGCAACGCTGTTGTAGTTTACAACATTAGTTGACAACTTATTTCAAACAAGTAATGAGCGTTGAATAATTCAATGAGGCACCAAAGCACACATATCTCCCCAATAAGATAACGAACATAGAAATGTAAAGATAAATCCATAATGATACTATCATTTTCCAAGTAACTCTCCAACTTAATCTTTTATCACTTTACTCCCTCACATAATCTTCTGTTTCCTAATTATTCCCCATATATATACTAATATCATTATTATACATTTATTTTATCTTAAAACTAGACTTGTCAAAACAGGCCTAGGCCCGCGGACTGGGATGGCCCGCCCCGCTTAAAAGGTGGGTTGGGTTGGGATTTTTAAGTTCCGCTAAAGAGCGGGCCTAAACAAGCTGGCCCGCGCGGGCCGTGGGTTTTGGCGGGGCGGGCCAGGCGAGCCGCAGGCCAGCCCGCCTATTTTGTTTTTAAAAAAATAATGAATTTAGGACTTTTATAAATACGAATCTATGACTCTCATATGATAGCCCAAACTAAGAGCATCTCCAACGGGCTCTGTAAACCTACAGGAAACGGCACAGGTGGAGGAAAAGCATCTCCAACGGGCTCTGTATATTTGCCGGAAACGCCACTGTAAAATTTGTGGAACGGTTTGGCAACTGTTCCACTGTTCACCCGCTTGGCTTTTTATTTTTTTTTTAATTTTTTTTTTGTTAAATATGGAATTGAGCTTTATTTTATGTCACGACTTCGGGTGTCCCATCGGTCCTCGATAAGCGAGCCGAGCATTAGTGAAAAGTACTTTCGAGAAAACACGAGAAGAGGAGAATACATTTGTGGCGTCGATTTATTATTTCGAGGTCCCGATCATTTATTTGAGTAGCCTGAATTCGAGGGTGCATATGAGTAAAATAAATGAAAAAGCCGTTTACAGTGGTCCCGCAAGGTCGCGTGTGACTTCGGTTTACCGAGAATGGAGTTGGGACGTGTAGATAATTCAGGCACGATGTCATGCGGGACATTTGTCGAGTATTTCGGAGCTCCGAGCATTTAATTAGAGAAGCTCGAATTCCCGAGTGAATAGTAGTAAAATGAGCTAAAATGCCGGGGCCGAATTCGAGCGTTCAAGACTTCGCTTTTCTCGATTCTTTCAGTTTTTTGTCTAGTCGAGAGGAGATTTAAATTTTCATTATTATTTTAGTGAATTCCGAGATTTTTTTTAAGTATTTTCCGAGTTAAATCAGTTCAGTTATTGATAGTTATTAATAAATTTTAGTATTTATTAATTAATCTTATTAAGGACCATCACATCACATTACATTAATGAAAAATTGAATACTTATATTAATTAATATGATATTAATATGATAGAATATTAATTAGTACTTAAATTCACTTAAATAAATATTTCAAACAAACAAGTTCAAATTACAAAATAAGGATAAACATTCAACTCACTTAAAATAACGTACAAACACTAAAATTAAAATCACAACATAAAAATAAACTAAAAAACTCATCTTAAAGCTTACACATACTACAACAGCAATAATTAATTCGAAACATAAAAATAAAAATTAAAAAAGGATTATAAAATAGACGATTTTATATACTTAATTGTCACCATAATAATCATTCAAATTTCCTCCGTCATGCCCGATGTCGTCAAGAAATCCAAATTGACCCGTGTTAGATGATGGTTGTGTTGCTTGAGATTGTTGTTGCTCAATTTCTCTTTCTTGTAAAATTTGCATTTGTTTTTGCTCCCAATGTCGACGTATCATGGTATTCGTAAGGGAATTCAAATCTATCATCAAAATTCTATCTTCATCCCTCTTTTCTGCAAATCGATTTGTTGTTTCTGCAATTGAAGTTGGATATTTTGGCTTTCATCTTCTTTCTACAACAAATCAACAATAGTATCCATTTTAGCATTTAGAGTTTGAAAATATTGGCAAAATTGGTCTTCCTTTTTTTTTTCTTCAATTTTGCTTTCTTCGCTCCCATTGGACGTTTCGTCACTTTGTTGAGGACTAAAAGACGACAATCCCGGAGACTCTGGTATTGGTTGTCCATCAAATGAAACGTCAGACTCGGAAGAGTCATTGAGTGTATCGAAATCCCGACGACGAGATCGTGGTTGGGACACATTATCATCAAATTTTCCAAACTCTTTGAATAGTTGGAACACATGACGAAACTTGAAACCATCTTTATATTTTGGGTCTTGTTCAAACAATCGTTCGGCTTGCTCAATCTACAAACAAAGTAAAAGATATATAATTGTAAGTATACTTATAAAACAAGGTTGTCCATTGCAAATGGAGCTGGAAGAGTCATTGTTGACAATTCTCCTGGTATAGTGCTAATAATGGACTAGATCAAAATGACTCAATTAAATTCTAGTGCTTCTTCTATTACTGAAGTTTCTAGAAAAAAAAAATATGAAACGATGCAATGCACCTTGGGTCGCTACGGAAACAACCTCCTTGTATAATTACAAGGGTAAGGTCTACGTACAACTGACCCCCCATACCCCAACTAGTTGGGAATATACTGGGTATGTTGTTGTTGTTGTTGTTTACTTATAAAACAAGCAAATAACATGAACCGAGATTGAACTTAAAACAAAATACTCACCCTATCTTGTATTTGTGTCCCACTAGGATTGCGATATTCGATTTGCTTCAAGCATCCATTAAACCTCCGACAATGAGTTTGCATGAGATGATAACGAGAGTCAAGGGACCTTATAGAGCGTTCTGGTAAATCTTTGTGTTTCTGGGAGTTGTATTCATCATGTATTTTTTTCCCAAAGGTTGAAGAACTTTGATCATTTGACGATATTGGATTTTGTGAAACACTTATGTAGCATCTAACAATTAAGGCATCTTCCGGTTTGGAGTATTTTGGCCCTTTTGAAGAAGACATTTTGAAGAAAATAAGATATTGAGGAAGAGTGAACAATAAGACTACAATAATGGAAGAAGAAATGAGATATGTGTGTAGTTGCTTCTTGAAGTTTGATGTATGATTAGATAAACGAATTCACATGCACACAAGTATAGTTGTACCATTTGTCATACTATGCAAAAGAATCATATGCAAATTAATTTTTTATTCATTTGTCATCCTATGCTTCTTGAAGACTACATCCTATGCAAAGAGTCCTATGCTTCTTGAAGACTATGCTTCTTAAAGACTACACACTATGCAAAGAATCTTATGCTTCTTGAAGACTATGCTTCTTTAAGCATGTGATTTTATAAAATTAAAACAAATTTGCAGCAAAAATAAGTAAGAATTTACTGACTGACTTAATGAATGATTCAGGACCTAATATTTTTATGCAAGTAACTTTAGCATGCTGAGAATAACATTTAAATTTTCAGGTATAAACATTAAACATGCGAATTATGAAAGTTGTTACAAGTTTCAGCAGAATATATGATTTTAACAAAAGCCTAACTTAATGAGTCCAATAATTCTTGGGATTTTTACCACATCAAATATACTACAAATAAGCATATAAACCAAGTTTCATGCATTTTCATCTAAAAATCAATTTTATACCAAAAATAATCATTTATCCTAGCAAATGAATACCAAAAATCATGGAAATTTTATACGAGGTCAATATACATCTCAGGAGAAACATATCCAAATATCATAATTTTTGGACAACAATACAATTTATCACGCATTTAACAAGATTCAGCAGACACGTATAATTCAAAAATTCATAACTTGAAAAATATAAATCCAAATTGCACAAGGTCAAAACCATTGTGACTAGGACACAAAATATTTCATATTCCAAGAGTTAACCACGAGTTTAAATCAGATCCTAAGGGTTTCGCCTTAAACCCTATGGATCCATCAAATTCATATATGTATAATACCTTATTTCAACAATTAAATCAAACAAAGCATATATTCATAAATATATACCTAGGGAAGCCACTCATTATCGTACTCCATAAAGAAAGAAGACGGGGCTAGGGTTAGACACGGTGCACTCAGTGGTGAGTCTCGGCTCGTAGTTCCTTTCCAATGGCATCTCTTTACGCTCCCATTCTCTGCCAAAGCGAGTGACTACTTCATACATGCTTAGGGGAGGGTGATCTGGAAAAACAATTGGGTTCTTCCTCCAGTGTTCTTCGCGCATTCCTTCAACTATTGACCTCCACGACAATGAGGCTTTTCACCTCTTGTAGGTTGAACCATAATTCAAATATCTCTTGAACACTGCTCCTCATGTCGTGAGGCCGTGTGGGTTTGAAATCCCAAAACTCCTTTCTCTTTTTCCGATCCTCTTCCAACATCAAACTCACGATGCCGTTGTCGTCTGAGCTCGACTCGCTATTCGAACTATCTAGTTGCATTCTCGGATTATGGGATCTCGCACCAACACAAGGAGAGTTGTTTCGGCCTTTAAGATG